CCACGAGATTAGAAAACTACACCGTTTTGGAGGATGGTGGGCTAAATGAAACGACGGCGTTTAACGGTGGGCTTACTGGGCCAAGAGGGCCCAATTATGTTTGAGGCAATCGGACACACAACTTACGGATCATAAAAACGGGAAACGTATAAAAATATTTGTTATTTATTAACGACAGAATCAGATAAATATTGTCTGAAGTTAATGGGATAATTTTCATCAGTGAAACTCCAATTCTGTTTCCCCCCCCCCCCCATTGTGTTGGTGATTGGTTTGCCTTTTTTACCCAACTGCTTAGCATATAGACTTAATTAAGGAGGAAATCTCGGAGGTCTTACTGGAGGAGATATGAGATTGTGTAAAGAATATGGTAATATCTGAGCAGTTGAATAAAACGATGTGCTATAAATATAGCAAAACCAAATACTGACAGCTGCGCTCTGTTATTTTTATTTCAATCCTTTCAAATCGTTGTATTAATTAATATTGGTCAGTATATTCATATTAATACAAATCTGTTTTATTATTTTCAATCAATTTTATTTTGGGTTCACAACAAGGATTTAAGGCTTAATTCTCTAATCATATCAAAATTTTGGTTGTGAGTTTTTTTAACCTCAATTTGGCGCGCTAGGTAGGAGAATCATAGATCTTCTTACTCGAGAATCCTAGACCAGATTGTCGAAAAGACAAAATAGATCAAACTCCAACAAACTCTCAAAGATCTGCACCCATTGCTAAGATCTCCAACATGCTCATTCAGCCGGAAGCTCAGACTCGAGCTCAACCGGTCAATGGGAGACCTACCGCCGCGGCGACGAGCTCCAGCGAAACTTTGCGACTAGATCAACATATCCAAGTCCAGAGCACAGCCTCGGGGACAACTCCACATGCTCTAGATCATGTTTAATTGGACCAATCAGACCAAAGGTAACTGATTCGTTCCAACACTCCGAGAGCTGGTTCACCAATAACGACCTCTCCCGAACCTACGAGGCCTAGTCCTCCGATCTCAATCCCTAACATTTTCGCTCGGTCATATCAGTAGATCCCGGTTTCTGGCACAACCACGGGTACAAACCAACAGGTTTAAACCCAGCCAAAAAGAATCGCTCAAACCCTAGGGTTTGGTTGAGACCAAATGTCTTGAGAGCTGCATGGACCATTACCTCCGCCTTCACCGCGAACATGTGCCCAAATAACACCTAAGCTTGTGTAAGTGAGATTCAGCGCAGTACTGCATCTGACTCAACCTGGTCAAACAGAAGCATCTGATATTCGCAGCATCCTAAACTCCTTATTAGTTATTACCAGGCGGCATGAAAGTTTCACTCGCAGCATTACTAGTCATATGGACCAAGAGCAAGCCGATTTCGCTACGCAAATATCAGAACTTTCTAGATCGAATGATCGACCGATTGATGACGGAGTAGCTCGTTTTTGATCGTCTATATAAAAATGAATCTTAAAAAAATGTTTTATTGTTATTATGTTTCATATGGTTGCATCTATTCGAAAAAACGATTTATGGTTATTAATGCATCATAGAATTGTCTTTTTTAGTAAAACTGTTGTATAGTTATAATGCATATTAGAATTGCCTCTTTTTAGAAAAAAAATAGTTTTATGGTTATTAACGCATCTTAAGATATTGGCTTTTCGGAGGAAAAAAAATATGTTTTATGGTTATCAATGAATTTTAGGATTTTTACAAAAACACGGTTTTATAGTTATTAATAAATCATATAGTTGCGTGTTATTTAAAAAATAATTGTTGTATGGCTACGAATGAATTATAGGTTGTGTCATGTTGTCATAATTTTTTTGGTGTCTTTTGATTTATAATTTTTTATAATTCTAAAAAATAGTTTACAATATCGTGTCTTTACATATACTAGTTTTTTTACTTTAACCGTAAAAATATCAAAAATGTTTAAAATGTTAATATATTTGTATTGTTAACTTTTCAATGTATACTTTTATTTATTATCATGTTAAATAATTTCCTATGTCAAATTTCAAAAATATAATTTTTTTGCGACTTCGCGAGGGTTTGAGTCTTATTTACAGAATACTAAAAATCTCAGGAAATATTAAGAATATCGCAACCAACACAAGTTATGGTCATCAAATTTTGATCATCTAGTAAAAAAAAGTTAATTGTCACTTTTGTCAAACACATTTTTAATGATCACTCATTTTTGTTCAGAAACAAAAAAAATGCTGAGTCTAACGAGATGAGAACCTCGACTTCTACATCCACAAATTTGTATTATGTTTAGAAACATTGGCACTGTTACAAAACCTGCATCAAACAAATACGTACAAGGCTAATCCACGCCCGTTGATCTGAAACAAACATGAAAGTACCAAAGTCACTACTGAGTCTTCTATGTACAGAAGTTGATCATCTATTACCATTCCAATTCAGAAGTCAGAACAAATAAAGCAAATCACTGTAAAGCTCCTAACTCGTCAGCAAGATAGCAATCTTCTAGGTTAACACATTTCAGATCATTGATAAATTGATCTCGAACAAACCCGAAACCGAAAGTCTCATCTTCGTACAACCAAACCCGCCCTTCCTCTATGAAGAAAAGCACTGCCATTGCCAGCTTCCCCTGACAACACCAGTTCATGTACAACATTTTCATGAACTTCTTCGGGGAGAGGGTTAGTATGAAACCGACCATTCATTATCAACTCTTCTTCAGCTGAAAAGGAAGATTTGATGAACATGTGATTAAATGTCCATAACATAGGAGAAGTGTGCCGTGAGAGGGAAAAGTCATCTACTTTTCTGCATATAATGCCTCCAACTTCATCGTATTTGACCAAATATAAGTCAAGGTTCTTATTAAGAAGAAGTATAATTGTTTGAGATGCATACCTTCCACAAGCCTTGTAATGGTTTAGAAGGAGCGGGGCACAAGCAATCGATAACCTTAATAAAGTGTTGTGGTTCCCACTTGGCCCTGGCATGCCTCTCCTTCTCCTTCCTCCTTTGTCGCCTTCTGTCACCGCTTGGGCTCGTCCTATTCGCTAATTGAGTGTACATTTCCACAACGAGAAAGTTGGGCGATGTCACAATGTTGTTGTCGTCCCCGGAGCTAGAGCTTGGACTCTTCCGCTCTTGGCCAAGATTGTTGGTAAAGCATCTATTCTCCTCCACCATGATATGGTCGTTTCCCAAGAAATTCACATCCACCGGGACGATATCTCCGCTCAAAGCTTTTAGATCAGCGCTAGATGTCGCAGTACCATTGGGATCCAGAAAGTTCGCGGGTCGTCCCTGAGGCGAAATACCCATCAAGAGAAACGGAGTCTTCCGAACCTGATAGCTGGTGGCAAAAGCCCTAGATCCCATGACAAATGAAGGACCCCACTCAAACAACACCAACGGTGGAGACGAAGCGACGGGATTTGCTCGGTTGCAGAGGCGCCAGAAGCCAATCAGATTCTCCAAGCCCACCAAAGTCTTATAAAGGAGTCTATATGTGACCTGACTCTCTCCCCATTTCTGGATCTGCGTTTTCTGCCCCCACCTCCGATCGCACATAGCATGCCAAATCTTCCCGTCTTCACGACACAGCGAGGCGAAGCGTTTCGACGTGCAAGCGAAGCTCGAGATCTCCACCGGTGAGAGGAAGGACAAGACGCAGAGTTGGATGTCCTCGGGGATATCAGAAAAGGAAAAAGCGACCGTACATACACCGTTAGCCATCTTCGGGAGATGATAATCAAGGCTTTGTTGGATTACAAGGGTGAGGATGATAAAGGTAATCGGACTTGTGAAATTCTCAATTGTCTAAAGCGAATGCGGCAGCTAACAATGGAGATTTGTTGGAGTAAGATTGTGAAGAAGAAGTATCGATTGAAGAAGAAAATTGGGAATTTAGGGATTGAAAAATGAGTGATCTATATTATCTGCACATCTACACAAGAGAAGAAGAAGATGATGAGTTTGATTAGACCATGTGCCAAGCACGTCAAACTTGGAAAAGGAAATCACGTTATTTTTTATTTTATTTTTGGCATCTAAA